TGACACATGGTCCTGGCTCTGAGCCGGTCCCCGGGGAAAGCCAGGATTCCTTGGCAGTTTTCCTGTGGCTCTCCTCAAAATGCCTGTTTCCCCTTGTTAACTTTGTCCAACTTCCAGCTGTCAGTGCTGCTTTCTGCTGTTCTAAATATTTTCTTTCTCTTGAGAATTGTCCCTACAATATTTGGAAATAATTTTTAGTATACATGCAAAGTTATAAGCTGGGTGTTTTTTTTAATGTTTGATTTATCTTTCCTAAGCCTTTTGAGTTAAATCATCCCTGCGAGTGAGCTTGCACAATGTTATATTTCATGCCTGAATGATGGAAGGATTTAAAACCAAGGAGATAGTGTAGATGTTCCACAAGCGCTGGCACAACAGCTCTGCCTTGGACTGTAGAAAATGATCTCTGCTTCTTCAAACGTTCTCCTGCCTGTTTTATGTGAGCTCAGATGAATTTACAGCGGGGACTTCCTGACCACCTCCAGCTGTGCTCTTTAGTGTTGTCAGGGTTTCTGTGGTGCAACAAAATACCAGTTACAAAAATTAAAATACTACAGGATTTAAAGTTAATTCCCAGTCTAACACAGCGCTTGTTTGCAGCGGGGAGAGAGGATGCCGCAGGGTGCTGCAGCTCTTGCTTTGTGTCACCTTGCCTGGGAGGGCCTGACTCAGTGATGGTCCATGTTGTCCCCTGGGTTGAGGTCAGGCTGGTGTGAACAAGGCTCCCCGTTGTCCCTTCCTGCAGCACTGGTGTGTGTGTGTGTGCAGAACTGGCAGCTAAAAGGCAGTGAGATTGTGGGCAGGTGTGTGTCAGACGTGATCCCTCTCCATGGGGCTGCAGAGGCAGCTCAGTGGGAAGGAGAGGAGCAGACTGCAGACAGGCTGACTTTCCTGGCCCTGGCTGTGTACGAGGGTGTCTCCTTTATCTCCTGAGCGATGCTCAAAACAGCCCCAAATCCACCTTAAGTGATAAAGCTCGTGTTAACAGGGAGCATTTTGGTGTGGATCATAGAATGGTTTGGGTTGGAAGGGACCTGCAAGATCTAGTTCCACCCCCCTGCCATAGGCAGGGACACCTCCCACTAGAGCAGGTTGCTCCAAGCCCCATCCAGCCTGGCCTTGAACACCTCCAGGGATGGGGCATCCACAGCTTCTCTGGGCAACCTGTTCCAGTGTCTCACCACCCTCACAGGAAAGAATTCCTTTCTAGTACCTAATCTAAATCTACCCTTTTCCAGTTTAAAACCGTTACCCCCCCATCCTATCACTCCACTCCCTGACAAAGAGTCCCTCCCCATCTCTCCTGCAGGCCCCCTTCAGGTACTGGGAGGCTGCTATAAGGTCTCCCCAGAGCCTTCTCTTCCTGTGCCTTTAAAGTTTTTCCACCATGCTGAACGACTTTGAAATTTGTTCTTATTCTGCGGCTAAAAATACGTTAGCTGGGAAGTCCTAAGCCCCTGCCTGCTGGCTCAGCGTCTCCCTGCCGGAGGCGGGACTGACAATGAATAAATAATTTAGAAAAATCTTTTCTACAGCTGCCGCAGTAATAATTTCTTTCTTACAGCAAGGACAGCGGGGAAAGAGCACGGCAGGAACACTCAGGCATGGGACTGACTTAGTGGGAGGAAGAGTTCAGTCTGAAGGCCTGTGTCAGGAGTTGTCCCCATGGCTCGTGTTTGCTGCTGCAGCTCTACATGAAGCTGGTGCAGCTGGAAGGCACACTGCCCTGCACACAGGAGCATCTCTGCTGCTGCTGCTGGGGATGATTTCCAGAAGCAGAACCAGGATGGCTCACTCCTCTGCTTAGAAGTAAGAATTAAAATAGTGGCTCCTGACTCCACTGCGCTGGGGCAGAGGGTAAGGGAGGGCTCAGACTTGCTGGTGCCTGGTGCTGCCTCTTGCCAGCTGGGGCAGCAGTTCCACACCTTCACCTTGCCGCCAGAAACACGGCCCTGGGCGAAGGCAAGGAGAGAGGTGATGCTCTCGGAGCAGAGAGCAGCAGCAGCAGCAACTCCAGGGGTTGGAGAAGCTGCTAAAATGGTGTTTGTGGGGTCATAAAGCCCAGGGGGGTAACAAGCACCGTATTATCAGTGGGGGCTGCAGGAGGCGTTGTATTTCTGTGTCCAAAGATGCTATAAATGAAGGTGAGAGGCAGCAGTACCTGTTGTACAGTGTTTATTTTTCATGTGGAGCTTGGCTGATAAATAGGACTGAATTAAAGCAACGCTCATGAAAAATAAAACCCAACCATGATTCAGAAGTGCAAAATTGCCCTCTACGTGTCCAGAGGCAATGAGGTTCTGGTCTGCTGGAGACAGCACGTGGATACCGGTGGCTGTACCGGCAGAGCAAAGACTTCAGCTCAGTGATACCCTAAATGCGAAAGGACGTGTGATACAGCGTATGGCTTTGTGGCTGGACAGTCACCTGTGACTCTGAGAAACACCTTCTGCTGAGAAGAGATCCCTGGTGAGTTTTTCTCCAGTTCCTATTTACAAGTTGTGGTGCTGCCTTCCGCTCCAACCACTCACCGAGGGCTGCCGAACGGTAAGCGCTACGGAATTAAAACAAAAAAACCAAATGGGAAAAGCCAACGACAACAAAAACCTGCCCACCTCCATTGCGTTTGGACATGGCTCGTGGTAGAAACAGCACCAGTAGAGAGCAGACGGTTCCTGCGGTGGAGGCGTGGTCTGTGATGGGAAGACTTAAGACTTGCAAAGGATCAGAAAAACTTAAACAAGTGCAACCCAGGTATGAAATTACAGTCACAGGTTGCCTAAGGCTGAGAGAGGTCTTCATTGCATCGTCCCACCGGGCGCGCAGCTGGCGGCAGCTGGGCTGGCTGTGGCTCTCCCCTTGAGCTTCCTCCTGGGAGCAGTAGTTCACCTTGTTCCCTGCTCATCTTCTCACAGCTCTGTGAAGAAGGACCTAGCTTGACTCCAGAGGACAGAGCGTGCCACAAGGTGTTATCTACTTCATTTCATGGTGGTTGGAGAAGCGTCTGGCAAAGTGTTCCCGGAGACAAATTGGTTTCCCCGTAGTGGGGAAGGGATGGCACCTGCAGGGGATGGACAGAGCAGGGGGATAATCTGGTGCCTGGTACGAGGGTCTGTGATTTACCTGCCCAGTAAAGTATCTGGAGGAAGAGGAGTGAAAGGAATTGGCTGGGTGACTCCTGAGGCAAGGGCTGTAGCCTGGGGGGCTGCTGCCAGCAGGTACTGCCAGCCCGGGCGCTCAGGCACTCGGGGGTCTTGTTCCTTCAGCTCTTTCCCAAGAGGAGGTGTTCCTGCTGTCCAAGAGGAGGGCTCAGAGCCTTCCCTCTCCTGGTGTGTCCTGTGCTGCCTGCCCAGGGAGCAGCAGGGTGCTGGCGGGTGCTGTCCTGAGGGGTTTACACCTCCAGCCCAGGCAAGGGCTGTAGCCTGGGGGGCTGCTGCCAGCAGGTACTGCCAGCCCGGGCGCTCAGGCACTCGGGGGTCTTGTTCCTTCAGCTCTTTCCCAAGAGGAGGTGTTCCTGCCGTCCAAGAGGAGGGCTCAGAGCCTTCCCTCTCCTGGTGTGTCCTGTGCTGCCTGCCCAGGGAGCAGCAGGGTGCTGGCGGGTGCTGTCCTGAGGGGTTTACACCTCCAGCCAGCCGTGCCACGGTGACAATCTCACCGCTGCTGTGACCTGGTGCCCGGGGCCTGTCCCCTGCAGGCTGCTGGTGGGTGGCAGCCCTCACCTTGCTGGCCCAGGACCGAGGTGCCCATGCACCGAGGCAGGTTCTGCCAGGCAAACCCGGGAGCAAAATGGTGTGGTTGCTGCGCAGGCCCCGGGCAGGGATGCAGGCTGTGCTCCCTGCGGCTCTCCGAGCTGTGGGGCAGGGCAGCCCCTGCAGAATTCTCTTTAAAAGGTTTCCATCGTGTTCTTTCCAGCTTTTTCTCCATGTTGAGGGTACAGGAAGGGCCTCGGGACACCTGGGGGAGTGGGGTGCCTGTGAACACATCTTGTTTAGAGTTTGAGAAGTTTGTGTAACCGGCTGAGTGGGAGGTGAGGCGGTGTGCCAAGGCAGGCTCTGCCAGGCAAACCCGGGAGCAAAATGGCGTGGTTGCTGGGCAGGGATGCAGGCTGTGCTTCCTGCGGCTCTCTGAGCTGTGGGGCAGGGCAGCCCCTGCAGAATATGCACCGAGGCAGGTTCTGCCAGGCAAACCCGGGAGCAAAATGGTGTGGTTGCTGCGCAGGCCCCGGGCAGGGATGCAGGCTGTGCTCCCTGCGGCTCTCCGAGCTGTGGGGCAGGGCAGCCCCTGCAGAATTCTCTTTAAAAGGTTTCCATCGTGTTCTTTCCAGCTTTTTCTCCATGTTGAGGGTACAGGAAGGGCCTCGGGACACCTGGGGGAGTGGGGTGCCTGTGAACACATCTTGTTTAGAGTTTGAGAAGTTTGTGTAACCGGCTGAGTGGGAGGTGAGGACAGCGGCGCTGCTGGGCTCATCGTTGGGTGATTTCACAGCTGGGGAGCAGCAGGGCTTCCTTGGAGGCCTGAGACCTCGCGATCCCACCTGTTTCCTAAAAATCACTAGTAAAAATCACCAACCTCTTCAAATTACCTGTTTCCTACAACAACACTTGTACAACAACCAGTGAGGACTGTCTTTTCATGGACTTTCTTGCCTCTAAAGTGCAAAGCCAGGGAGCAAATGAGAAGTTCTCAGGCAGCTGTTCAGGCCCTGGGAACACGGAGAGCAGTTTGATAAAGCAAATGCAGCCTGACTCCTTACACGCGCCCTGTGCAGAGGTTTGGTCAACAAGCAGCGTTCAGTAGCTTGAATATATTAAATGGATTTCCACCAACTCAGCTGGAGAACTCTCCATTTCATTGGCATGGCTTGGGGTGTGGGGCAGATCTCATCCAAAAAGAAAAAAAAAAAAAGGTAAAGTTATTTTCTGTTTCCGAAGGCGTTTGCTGCAGCAGTGCCATTCCTTCACGATATATTAAATGGATTTCCACCAACTCAGCTGGAGAACTCTCCATTTCATTGGCATGGCTTGGGGTGTGGGGCAGATCTCATCCAAAAAGAAAAAAAAAAAAAGGTAAAGTTATTTCCTGTTTCCGAATGCGTTTGCTGCAGCAGTGCCATTCCTTCACGTGCCAGAAGAGCTTGAGGTTAGCAGGGTCCGGTACAACCACCATTCTCCATCCAGAGGCCACAGCTGTCCCTTGTCCCTGTGCTGGGTCTGGATGGGGAGCCAAGCAAGTCCCCCCTGCCCGCCCCAGCCGCTGCAGAGGTCCCCACCAGCCTGGCCTGGCCGCAGCAGCTGTCAAGCAGCAACTGGTGGACAGGAGCTCCCACAAAGGTGTGTGTTCTTCTCTCAGTCCCCGGTACCACGTTGGCAAGTGCTGCCGGCCAGGCCTCCGGGCACCAGGAGAGTGGGGATGGGATGAGCTTTTCCTGAGATCTCCCTTGCTGTGCTCCAGTCTGGTTTCGACATCTTCTCCCGGAGCACGCTCCCTGCTGTCAGAGATACCCCTGATGTTCCTCGCGCTTCTCCCCATCCAGTGGTTGAGTTCATAGCTTGTTCTTCTGTCTCATGGTTAAAAAAATATATCTTTATTTTACTTTTCATCCTCATCTCCCTCGCTCATGCTGCTGAGGGAGGCAGAGGCAGCTTTTGGAGAAGAGGGAGGGGAGGCTTTATTGAAGACCCAGGGTGGAGATGGAGAACGGGACGGAGAGCGGCCTCGCGTGGGACTGCTGTTTGGGCTCTGCCGGGGAGAAAAAGCCTGGAGCATTCGGCCGCTTCGTTCCTGGAACATTTGCTTCTGCAAAAGCAAAGTGAAAAGATGCTCTTTGAGTAATGCACGGAGGGGAGGGCACACCTGCGGGCAGAGAGTCCCTCACCTGGGGAGAGAGCAGGGAGCAGAGGATAGACTTCTGCTCTGAAGTGTGGCCAGTCCAGCCCACACGTGGCCTTTGCCTCTTCTACTGTGCTTGTAATAACCCGTTTTTTACATGGCAAGGATTTGTCTTAAATCAGGCACCCCCAGTGTGGGAGTGCTGTGTGTACTGTCCTGAGCCAGCTAGGGGCGACTCCCTTTGGACTGTTTCTATGTGTTGGTCAAGCTGTGTCTCAAAAAGTCAAGTTTTCTGTTTTCCTTATTCCCAGGACTTCTTCCTTTTAGCGTGCTGGGATGGGCCACCCATCTCCTCCTGAGCTTCCTGGCTATCCCGGCCTTTTTTCCTCCTCCTCTCCACAAGGGAGGCAGCCCAGTGCCTGCCACAGACTGGCAGCTGCCCCCCCAGCTCCCTGCAACATGGGCCACCCAAACCCTGCAGCTGGGGTGGGAACGTCGGGACTCGGGTGTCTCGGTTGGAAAGAGAAACACGTGCAGGCTCTGTGTTGTGCTTTGGGCTTTATTGTCATTTCTGCTTTGTAAAGCTGAGTGGAGGCCCACCAGAGCCGGCGGGGTGGCAGAGACCACCTTTTCAGTCAGGCAGTCTGCTGCACTAAGGCGTGTGCTGCTGCTCGTTAGCGCCTGCGGGGTCTTGTGTCGGGCTGCCGGGCTGGGTGAGGGGCGATCTGGCAGGTGCTGCGCGGCTGCTGCGGGCTTCAGGGGGAAAAGGATAAATGCAAGTGCCTGGCTGCTCCTCCTGGGGACGGGGGACAAGGAGTCTCGGCCGTGGCTGCAGCACTGGGGGTGGGACCGTCGGCGATGCTCGGCTGGAATGGAAGAACCAGCCCGGACAAAGGTAAGTTGAGAGCAAAATACTGGTGCAGAGTGTGTGCTGGGTTTGCCTGCTCGGGCGGCTGCAGTCCACAGATTTTCTCTGCTTGATTTTTCATTGTGTCCCTCCTCCCCTTTCCCCTGCAGCGACTCTGCTCTGGGAGGACCTTCCCCGCAGCCAAGGAGCACGTGGCTGCCCTTCCTGCTCTTCCTCCCCCTCTTTGAAGCTCAGCGTTCCCTGCCAGCCGAGGGGCAGATGCTGGGTTTTTCCTGTCAGGTTTCTGGTATCTGCTCATCCTGGGGGTTAACGATGGAGCAGGAATACCGACCTTAACTGTTCCTCTCTCAGCTCCCTCACCCAATTTATATCTTTATCACATTGCCTTCATTAACTTAATTTTAGAGCCTGGATGTTGCTGCAGTGCAGAATGACAGAGCAGTTCCTGTCTGGAGCCACGCTTACCCGTGCTCTCATGCATAAAGACCCACAGTGTGTAACCTACGCTACTGCTAGGTCCAAAATAGTCAAGACTTCCTAAAATTTCAATAGTTAGCAGATGGTGGTTGTTCCTGATAAGTGCTGCCAGGAAGCATCCGCATGGGGGAGGGTTTCTGCTGCCGAGAGCTGTGAGGATGTCGCCAGGGCTGGCAAAGCCCTGGAGCCTGTTGAAATTCAGTGGTAGGAGTGCAAAATTTCTCTTTAGATCACAGAAATTAAGGTTCTGTTGGCTTGACTTAGTCTGTTTCATCCTCACACTGAAGATAACTCCCAACAACAAAAAAATTGTTTGATATGAAATATCTTTTTCCTGGCCAAGCAAAATACTTTGACTCCCTTCTGCTTCTGGCGCCTCACCAGCCACTTCAAAAAGCTCACTGTCATTGTGCTGCTTCCTGCTGGTGCTGGGGGACATCAAAGTGGCCCAGCTTGGCTGGTATCCCACGTGGCAGGAGGTACTTGACTGGTCCTTGGGCCACACGGGCCAGGGATGGAAAGGAGAACCCCACCTTCCTGCTAAGGCCCTCAGCCAGGCTTCAGCAAAGAGTTTGTTGCTGGAACAAGCTGGTGCACTCACACCTTCAGCGGGGTAAGTGCCCGGCCAGTCTGAATTGCCTCCTGCGTTAGTGCTTTAGCCACCAGGTTGCTGGCTAAAACCACAACTCTTGCAGGAGAAGGAGGAGATGATGTGATTCCCCTGTCTCCAGAATGACTCCTCCCCTCCAACTGTGCTCTAGCAGGGTCAGTAAGTCATGCCCTTTGCAGGGAAGGTCTTCCTAATGTGGGGGTGCTCCTCGGGCCATTGGGTGCTGAGGAAGTAGAACAACCATTAATGGTTTCCTTGAAGTGCTGGAGGGTTAGACAAGGCTGGGTGGGCTCTGGACCTTTACCAGGAAAAGAATTGCAAAGCCTTAGTTCAAGCGAATTTGGGTACACCCAACCAGGGTGGGGAGATAACACTTTGCTTTTGGCACACGTGCTACTGAGCAAAAACATTTTGCCTGTTTCTGAGTTTTACTGCCTATGTGTTGGTACTCTTCTGCTTTACCAAACAAGTGCCAGTTGGGCGTTAGGGTGGACTGCTGCTTGCTGCAGGCTTCCAAAGGCCATGCTGAGGTCCAGGCTGCAGACACAGGGTGTTACCAAAAGGCTGGCCTCGGGTTCTAATTGCAACCTGTAAGATTTATCTGAGCCCCTGCTGATGTCTGAGGTGATGCAGCTGTTTCCCAGTGCAGCCATCCCCCACCCCCTCTGTGCACCCAGCAGAGGGAAAAGGGCCCTATGGAGGGACACCTCATCTCATCCCAGAGGGACAATGGCATGGAAACCCTGCCCCATGATCCTTGATTTCTCAAGTGCCTGTAGGTGTCAGAGAGGAGGTGGGATGATGAACCCCCTGCTTTCCACATCTATGGAGCAGAGTCTCTACCATTAGGGCCTCCGTGCTCAGCTGCACAGTGGTCCTCCCTTGAGCCAGGACAAAAGTTTAATGCCACGTTAATTGTTGTTTCTGACACCTCTGCGACTCTCTGGCAGAAAAAAAAAATACATACAGGGGATTGCACAGGTGGGCAAAACTGGCAATGAATTATAGACATCTTGACATTTGAAAACTGGCATTTTGACCTTTTTCACAAATGGGCATTTTTTTTGTGGGTTACACAGCCCTTACTTTTAGGAAAATTGATGCTAGCATAAAGCATATTATAATAATTATTTGTGAAATAATAATAGCATATTAATGGCATGCAAATTACTGATCTAGGAATCTAGCATGCCCATAACGATTCTTGTACTTTTAATGTCAACATTAAAAGCAACATCTAACTAACAGTGATAAGGCAAATTAATGTTAATAACAGTTTTGACACTAATAGCAAGTTATCATTATTTTAAAAGTCTTTCCTGTTGCAAGGCTCACGCTGATTTTAAAAAAGCCACACCACCTCTCAGCTCGCTGTCACTGATGCTTTTCCTACCACACTGCAAGGAGATTTCATTCCTGTACTTAGCAAAGCTCTCTGTGTTTGCAGCAGATTTTTTTGCTCTGTGGTTGGGATGCAAACTCAGTAAACAGGAGGCCACCTCCCCCCCACTCCCCAATGACCTTTCCAGAGCAGCTTTTCTCTATTCAAATCTGGTAAATTTTTTTAATCAGCAAAGGGTTTTTAAAAATGCCCTCAGCAGTGTGCAGTGCTGAGTGGGCAAAGCCAGGGAATGGGATCAAGGCTTTGAAATCCTTTTCCTCTCTCTGCACAGCCAAACTCACCTCACCCCCCGTGGGTTTCATGTGCCCTGGTAGCATTAGGTTAATATATTCAGCACCTGTGGCCATGGGACCATCCCACATGGGGAACACTCGCCAACCTCCATGGAGAGGAACTTACAGAGGAAGCATTCTTCATGTGGATGTGGTCGATGCAGGTAAACCTGGGCTTTTCATTAAAAGAGTTTACCCTCTTCCCCTCCCCAAGGAAGATGATACTGTCAATGCACAACAGCTAAATAAGCTATTTGTTTATATGGCTGGGACCAGAGAGAGCACCTGCCTTTGCGTGGGACAGATGTAGCTGTAAGCAGATTATAAAGGTTCAGTCTCTGTTCTGAAGCCTTCACAGCCTAATTTTAGGCTTTTCTCAACTGAGTGGTAATCGACATGGCAAGTCATGGCAGGGAAAAGATGAGAACCCCAGTAAGAGGCATTTACTACGTGCTTTGGTGGCACCGAGTTGTGACACGGCTGTGACGTGGGCTACTTAGCTTCACAGACCCCTGGGTGAACTTCCTGAGGGTTTGTTTATAAACAAAACTCTGCTGAGATCCTTTCAACAGAATGTACCTGGGGTTTCTCCCCAGAAGGATGCTGTTACAGAGCCTCAACTGCCTTTCCAAGGCACCTGGGGACCTCTGGTAAACGGGCTCTGCGGAGCCAGCGTGTACTGAGCAGACCTTCAAAAATGCTTCAGTTCCATCTGAGCCTTTCCTGCAGTCAGTTAGATGAGTGTGGCCACTCAACATGTAAAATCATTCCTTGGAACTTTAAATCAGTCGTTTTGAAAGCTAGAAAATTTGTCATCTTCTACTGCTGAGTACAGAGCATAAAGAGCACCACTGAAAAATTTGTCAGTGTCCCTGTCTCCTTCACCACCTTCCGTGCATAATTCCCCCCTGATGTCTGCGTGGTCTCATTTAGTGCTAAGGGGGGGGACAGACTCTATTAACCTGTTTGTGTGTGTTGCTGTTACACAGCTCTGCTGAATGCAGTGTCACATTCAGCATCACCCCTGCACAAAAGACAGAAATTATCCCAAAGAAGCAACAGCCAGAAGTAGGAAATCCCCCGGCTGCAGCATTGGCATGCCTTAACTGGATTCAGCAAGTGGGTTTGGCATTATCCTACCCTGCTGGCTTTCGAAGCAAAGACTGCAGCAAAAGAGTCTGCTCTTGATCTGCACTACAAAAGATAAATAAAAACCACTCAGATTTCCTGGGATGGCAGAATACCTACCCATGCTCCGTCGGGTCCAAACAGCTCTAAAAAGTTGCCAATAAATTCCCTGGACTTTTCTTCCCATTTCTGAATGAGGTCGTGGCTCTTCTCTTCCACCTTGTAAACAAATTCTTTTGATTTTTCCTCCACGTTCTTGACTTTCTCCTTCATTTTGTCCACTTGGTTTTGAAAACGGTATTTCTTCTCCTGTTTTAAAAGTGTGGACAGAGATTAATATATAGGGACTTGGAAAAAATTAGCCACTGACAGCTGAGAAGAAGAAGAAATTGCATTAATGTATCCTAATCCATATGGCCTTGGTTAACTATTGCCACATTATTTTTATAAATGCAAATTTAACATTTGTGGAATGAAGTGCAGAAGGTACATATTGAAAAGACTGTCTTGTGTGATTACTGCGTTTAACCCACTACATGAATCTTTCCATATTTTCCAACTGAATGCACTGTGAAAATTATATTAATCTTTTGAAGGATACAAGGGAGAAATTAACAGCTCAAACTTAATCAAAAGGCGAATCTCCCTGGGTTTCCTAGCAAACACAGCCCACTGCTGACTTGTCAGCTGGGATGGCAACTTGGACCAAAATGTCTTTTTAGTTGGATTTCTGCAGAGCAGAAAGAAATCTCTCATTGCCTGGCTAATACAGGAGCTTCTGGCTGCAACAGAAAGATGTGGGTAGGCCAGTGGCTTGTGGCCAGAAGATTTGAGAGAAGAGAGAGCAAACTCCTAATTGCAAAGTCACAGAGAACACAGAGGAACAGAGAAGATAACATTAGGGGGCCAAGCTTGTAAAATACTTCAGGGTTTAAAGGGCTTTTGTCCTGGAATGCTTCTGTGCTCTTCAAACTTACAGGGCATGCAGTGAACTAAGGCTGTGCCTCTGAATCTGAAGGTGTAATTGTCTCTGTAGAAGCACAGATCAACTATTGGCTCTTAATTTCCTGTGAACTTCATTTAATGGGCAGTTGAATTTACTTTTAAAACAAATACTGTTTAATGCTGAGGTGGGTTTTATTCCAGCTCATGAATCATTAGAACTGTCTTTGCAGGCCACAAGGCTGAACAAAATCCTCAAGGTCCAAAGGAACTGAACTCACTTTGTACCCAAAAGGTGACCAAGCTTTTCTTCTAGCAGGGAAGCCAGTGCTTTTCTGTCTTGGTGAAATCCAGGGGGGGTTTATTTTGAAACACGAACAGCCTCTGGTACAAATTAGTATTTCCGCATTTAAATTACTATAAGCTAAATAACCAAATGCCAGGAGGAACTTCAGGACACATCAGTGTCTCGCGACTGGGGGAAGTATACCTTATGCAACAGCATCTTAACCTCAGAGCCTCTGAAGGACAAATTTGAGGACCTCTAAGGCAGATGCCTTAATTTAACGGATATTAGCAATACTGATGCTTCTGGGTGGAGTACTTCCAAGCAGGATTTTTTTAGAGATTCTGTAGAAGACTGGAAAAAAAAGCCCAGTGAAATGAATATTTATGCCGTGATCTGTGATTCATCTGACAGACTTCAAAATAAGAAACAAGTAAACAAAACCCTCATGAAATGACACAATTCAGTCCTTCACGAGGGGGTTTCCCAGTTCCAGGGAAGGAGGGGAAAGTCCTCCTGTGAGCCAGTACAATCACAGGGAAGAGTTCAGCTATATGGGTTATCTTGAGGCCTTAAATTAAGACTTGAAACAGAAAATGAAAGAAAGAAAACTTTCTTTTCTGTTAAGTGTTTACTCCTTACTGGAGAGTAAGGTGCAGTGCTGTAGATGGAAGCTGAATAATTTGAGCTGCTATGTTTTCCTGAGGCATCTTTTCAAATGGTGCTCTGCCTGCCTATTGTGGCTTCTGATCTCTTCAGCATCCCTTGTGTATGAGCTTCCTAACACGCTTCTTTTTCTTTTAAAAACTATTTTAGCCTCCTCTAGTAATCTCACTGCTCAGCTGTTTTCGGTTTTGGTTTTTAATCCTGTTGTGTTGTAGAGAACATTTGGACATCAAAGTTTTTGCTCTCTGTGCTGCCTTCTCACAATGAGAATACAGAAAGAAATGGTGTCTTGGGTGAGTGGCTGAGAAGCTGGGGGTGGGGGCTCCTTCCTAATGTGTCATTAAGTCACAGCTCGTATAAGAAGGGAGAGCAGTTTTGTTACAAACATGAAAACATAAGATAGAAACAAAGCTGCTAATTAATAGGAGCAATTCAAACTACCCTCAATGTTTTCCTGAGGCATCTTTTCAAATGGTGCTCTGCCTGCCTATTGTGGCTTCTGATCTCTTCAGCATCCCTTGTGTATGAGCTTCCTAACATGCTTCTTTGTCTTTTAAAACCTATTTTAGCCTCCTCTAGTAATCTCACTGCTCAGCTGTTTTCGGTTTTGGTTTTTAATCCTGTTGTGTTGTAGAGAACATTTGGACATCCAAGCTTTTGCTCTCTGTGCTGACTTCGCACAATGCTAATACAGAAAGAAATGGTGTCTTGGGTGAGTGGCTGAGAAGCTGGGGGTGGAAGGAAGCTCCTTCCTAACATGTCATTAAGTCACAGCTCATATAAGAAGGGAGAGCAGTTTTGTTACAAACGGGCTCCTTCCTAATGTGTCATTAAGTCACAGCTCGTATAAGAAGGGAGAGCAGTTTTGTTACAAACATGAAAACATAAGATAGAAACAAAGCTGCTAATTAATAGGAGCAATTCAAACTACCCTCAGCTTACCAGTTGTTTTTTTTTATCAAAATCTTTGCTCTCTGTGCTCTCTTCTCACAACGGGAATAGAGAAAGAAATGGTGTCTTGGGTGAGTGGCTGAGAAGCTGGGGGTGGAAGGAAGCTCCTTCCTAACATGTCATTAAGTCACAGCTCATATAAGAAGGGAGAGCAGTTTTGTTACAAACATGAAAACATAAGATAGAAACAAAGCTGCTAATGAATAGGAGCAATTCAAACTACCCTCAGCATACCAGTTTCTTTTAAATTAAGTTCTTCCCAGCTATTTTAAAAGCAGCAGGAGGAAGATGTCGTTTCTTAACCTTTACATCCGGGGTGTCCTAGGAGAGAGTGTTTCAGAAGCAAACGCAGATGGGTGTACTTACATTTATAAAACTAACATTGAGCTCTTTGGCGGTGTATCCCCGTTGGAGGTTGCGCCGGGCGTACACGTCGTAGTCCCGGACGATCCGTGTAATGATATCCGAGGTGGAGATACCTTCCGTTCTCTGCGTTGGTACGAACATTCCTGAGCAAAGTGGGAAAAGAAAGCCCTCTGAGAAGGCACGGCAGGCCCGGGCACTGCGGAGGGTAGCTGGGGATGAACACAAAAATGCCTGACCACAGGGAAGAGACTTGCAGTTCTGCCCATCGTATTCCCCGTTGGTTCCCTGTGTGAGCCTTACAGAATGCACGAGGTTGCTATACTGTTTATTTTTACCTCAAGTCTTCAGAAAGGCTAAAACTTGCCCCCTTCCCAGTGTCAGCTGTTTTGTGGAAGTTATTAGACTGGCAGGGGCTCCTGAGCCAGGAAGGCAAAACCTCACAGTTGTGGCGATTCACTGAGCAGTTCTTTCCATAAGCATAGCCCTTGTTTAATGTTGTGAAAAGGAGTCGGGGGTTGGCTTTGTTCTGCTGAGTGAAACAGAGCAGCCTCTGCCCTTGGAAGGCCTTCAGGTAAAAGATGCATCACAATAACTGGGAAAAACCCTGGAGGTGCTTGTAACAGAAAGACGAAGCATAATGGTAGTGTGACCAAACCAGGGTATCAGGCCCCACAGCCCCCATTTCATGTCCACCAGGCCAAGTCAGTGGCTGCAAAACCATTTTTCCTGGTCCAGCAGATCAGTCTCTAGTAAAACTGGTCATTTATTAATCTGAGGAATATATTGCTTTTTAATTGCTCCTCATCAAGACAGGATCGCTTGTTTTGTTAGAGCACGTCACAAAGGCAATAAATAGTAGCAGAGTGCTAGCACTACTTTGTTTAGTACCTATTTAGGGCTACAAAAATTACTACTATCACTTATACGTAATTGCAACATTGAGCTGCTGATGAGAGAGCACTGTGAGATAAGACTGGAATGGGTTTTGCAAAAAAAAAGTAATGCTTTGTCTTAAAAAGGCGCTATAGCTACTGGCAAATTAATCCTCACATGTTCACTTGAAGTAGGCAGGCATTGCTAGCTAATTTCACAGGGTTAGAAAAAGATCTGGTGAAGGAATCAAGAAGCTTAGCAGCCTCTTATGACTAAATGCTATGTGATATTTCTTTCTTTCTGATCTCTAATTAATAGTCTGCTAAAAAATAGATTCTTTTAATCACCAGCAGAGAGGTTTCCCTGATCGTGCTTTTCAGGCTTGCAGCAGTCACTCAAGAAGCTATTTTTGGAAGCAGTAAAACCCACTTTGAGCCAGAAGCCTTTATAGATAGGGCTTGGATTTTGTTTGTGTATTCTTGTAGCTCCTACCCTTGCGAAGCCAAAAGCTGAATTGTTTTCAAGCAGATGCACTAACCCGTATATGAGAACATTACCCATATATGAGAACATCACTCATATGCTTCATGTGTTGGACTGATTCATGTTTTCCAAACTAACTGTTCATTTGCTTTCATATGCTTCATGTGTTGCACTGATTCATGTTTTCCAAACTAACTGTTCACAGATGTGCACAGGTTTAGTCAGTGCACTCTCACCCAGCTCACTCCTGTCCATACGCCCTCCCACCCCCTGAAGGCAGTGGGGAAATGGGAGCCTATGGGAATCTACACAAGGAGCTCTGCAGTTCTCACCTGCTTCTCTGCTCCCCAGCAACCTGATGTGGGAAAATGGGAGTACTGGAACTAAAGAAAATGCACAAATGCACCCACAGCATTGGTCTATTTAAAACAAAAACCTCTAGGAGAAAGGGGAGATTCATTATGGCAATAATGCTGTTCTGGAGCATTAGGACTATTACAGCACTACATCTCAAAACTCTTCACAAACAAGGTTACATGATGTCCCAGTTCATATGTAACAAAATTCAGCCATACAAGCCTGCCGTCACTTCTCCAGCATCTGGCAGTGATGGACAAGTCTCTGAAGCTGTCAGTCCATACTCTGTTCTGCAAAGTTTGAATTTTTCGTCAGGACACATCTGCACCACTCCCATGCCCAACCACAGCAGAGAAGGGTGTGCTGGGTTTGGGCACTCTCCAGCTCAGGCTGGTAACGATGCAGTGACACCAGGGGCTCCTGTCACAGTGTCCTGTGCACTCAGCACCTTATAGAAGAAATGCAGAGTAGCTGCCTGTGCAGCACGTATGCTGTATGTCCCTCGGTGACCTGCCCTTACCGGGGATACCTTTGTTCCCTTGCCTAGAAGTAAGCTGGTGCTGGCTCTGAAACTGTAGTCTCAGAAGCAGCTCCCAAAGGAGGCTTGTGAGTCTGATACCACAGTGAGGTTTGCAAGTGGAAAAAGATCAAGAACTGCTGCTATAAAAAGCTTATTCTTTCAGCTCAGGTCAATACATGGTCTCCTGCTGCCATTGTATAGCTTGAGAAGGTCACTTTGCACGACAAATTACCATCGGGCAGATTCACTCTGGAATTTTTTTAAGCTTCCAATATGCATGTTTATGTAGACCAGGAAGAGGATGGATTCGCCAGGGTTCAAAGCAGCACCTCCAGGGAGCAGGAGAAGAAAGGTATGATGCATTCCTCCTCCTGCACTCCATTCTGTTAGGGTAGCTGCTTGGGCAGAGGCTTCATGTTATCTCCTCAGATTTAATTCAGCTTCCTCCAACTGAAGAGATACAAACTCCTGATGACTTCAGCATGTTCACGTTCAATGTAATGTGGGAGTCAACCAAACTGCTAAATAGTCATGGCAAATGAATTACTCTGGTAGTGATTTAAAACCTCTGCCAGTGTAGGGAAAAGAACCCTCCATGCAAATCGGAAGTGGATCCTAATGGCTCCTGAAGGCTGCCTGTGGTTGCCTGTATTCAGGACTGGGCTGTGTCAAGGAGTCGTCAGTTTGTGGTTATCAACAAACCACTGAAGTTGGCTGGGTTCCTGTGGGAACTAAACTCATTTTCATCCATTCAAAGCTCTTAGATGAGCACCCTAAAATTGTTTTAAAAACCCACGCGGGACTCTTTCATGACAGATCTGAATGGTTTCCTGGGGATGATGGCAGGAATTCAGCCAAGGACATCCTTTGTGGTTTTACAAAGTGAATCTTTCTGCTGAAGTCAGCCGTACCTACCATTAGGGTGTAAGAGAACGTGACGTTATCTCTACTGCTTCTCTTCCAGCAGTTGTGGTCAAAAGGCAGTAAAAGAATTTGAGCTGAGGCTGTAAAGGGAGGTGCTTAAAATGTAAAGTTGCTCTTACCTGCCTCCTTTATGTGTTTGTATACATCATCCGAGCCAGCGGAGGAGTACGGGATGTCATCGTGGGCTACAAAGTCAATCTGCCAGTGAACAGAAGAAGAATCACATGCCACCATCACTGAATTTTGGTTCAGTGGGAGGTCGTTGTGGAGGATCATCTCTTTTCTCGCCTTCAGCTGATTTGCTTTTGACATTCTCATCCTAAAGCCATCACCTAGAATATTGCACTAGATTTAGGCCTGCAGCTGCTGTGTTGTGTGATCAATTATGAAAGAACAGCAAGCTTGTCTCCAGAAGCACTGCCATTAACACATCACTCTGGCTGGCTCTGTGTGATATTCTGTAGAAAACCTACGACATTTTTTCTTGCTTTTGTTGTTACTGGAAGAGCTAAGTCAAGTGGCAAAGCCTTGGCTTTCAAACCCGTGGAGGCAGGGTTATTGATTCTGCTTCCTTAGGGCTGTGTGTATATACATGTATACCTACTACTGTCATGCTGTCCTTTCATCACCCAGTGATGTGGACATTAAAATACATCCTAGTTAATTGTGCTTTTGTTAAAATTTATATATATATTGCAAGCCAGTCAGTAGGATGTAAGAAGTTCTATCCTGCCTTTTAGAGGGCACATGGCATTTTCACATATTTCTGGCCAATCATTGCACCTGCTGACATTAAAAAGAAATGCGCCTTCAATTCAGGACTTTAACAGGACTTTAGGCACTATGTGATAACTTGATAGTTCATGATTTCCTTTCCTGATGATTCATGATCTCCTTTCCTGAAAGTCAATTTGTGAATAACTCTCCAGTGTTATTTTGCCATTCACAAATCCCACCACATAAATCATCTCAGCACAGTGAGGAAAAAAAGGCAAGACAAATATAACATTTTCTGACAAAGATGGAGGCAAGCAATGCCACGTACTATTTTGGTGACTGGAATTAACTAAATAAAATAATTTGCTCCGGCTTATAGAATTTCACAGACTTGCTGTTTATTCTGAACTGTCAGTCTACGAAGGGGAAGGGAGGGATAAGGGGGGGAATGTACCTTATGTTTTTCAAGGAACTCAGGTGTCAGTGTCCAGGGTGCATCTCTGATGACCTCATCCACATAACGACAGTGTCTGAGGGCTTCATATCGCTCAGTTTCGTTCATCACAGTGAAGCCTTTGAATTTATGAGTTAAATCATCACTGCAAACTAAAATATGGAAGTATCAACAAACAGTTCCATACTTTGTAGAATTAGCAAGACCAGCAGTTGATTATTTCCTGATAAATCCACTAAGCTTAGCTAATTTTGAGGTGCTCCAGGGCATCTAAGAGTTCTGCTCACAACTGGCAGGTACAACCATAGAGACATCCTTCTCTTTCTGGAGCTGCAGCCAGAACCTGCCTGAGATATTGCAGCACACCTCAAGCCGTACTATATGCACATGTTGAGGTAACTCAATCCCACAGTAAGTGTGGATTTCATGGGCTGCAAAATTTCAGGGGTGATGGCCAATGCTTTAAAAACAATCAAAAAGTGCATTGTCAGGAATCACAGAGTGCTTGCAAACCTCATGTATCACAAAATGGTCGAGGCACCACTGGACATCACCTCCTCACAGCAGGGCCAACTACAGCAGGTTGCTCAGGGCCACATCCAGTTGAGTTGCCGAAGATGCAGACCCCTCAGCCTCTCTGGGCCTCCTGTTCCTGCTTTTTGTTCTTAGCTAACCAATGCTCTAAATGATTAATTTGCCAACAAAGCTCTAAATCACAGCAGAATAGTTTCTCACTAAATAAATACTGATGGAAAACAAGTCATGGCAGATTTTATAGGAATCTGAGTTTAGTTTTGAGTTCAGCAGGAACTCAATAGGAAGAGAAGCGAGGCTCGTGCCACGTTCAAATGGGAAATCGCAGAAGGAAGCCTCTGGAAAGGACTGGGAGAAGCTGTGGAATGAGCAAGTCCAGAAATCCTGCACCTTTAACTCTGGATGTACCAATGCTTGGTCACATTGCTTTTAAAATGAGTGGAAGCAACACCCGTGTTACCAGAGGACTACAGAACTTAGGTATTATCTTTCAACCCACGTAATGTTGCATAAAACAGGGTGGCTATCCCCACAGCTGTAACTCTGTCCAATATTCCAGCTACGATAGTCATTTGACACCCCACATGGAATAAAATGATACCCGTTTATAGCTGGGTTGAGAGTGGTTGTCCTTCACCACAGGTCAAATCTATGCCTTGTGGATCTCACTTGCCTATGACATTGGGACAAATAGTAAATGTACTTGACAAATGATAAATGCAACATTATTAGTGCTGCAGGGGAAGCGTGAGAGTAGCCCTACAGCAGCTGCTTCTTTCTAATTTGAAAACATCAACCTATCTAGCAAGGCGCTGGCAAAGATGCAGTCTTTTTTGAGATCTAAAATGGATGGTCTTGCTGTGATGGTTGTTAAGGACCTTTAAAGCAGGAAAAATGTAGGAAGGCTGAGATAGCCCTGGAGTTTGTGCAAAATTTAAGGCCAGATAATAATATACATATGAATTTCAGCTACTGAAATGCTACTCTATCCTATTATGTCATTTTTTGATGCCTGCTGATAAGAAATTTAATGGAGATCAAAGCATTTTCAGTAGAAAGATCCCTTCTGAGATTGTATTTATATTTATTTACAGCCTTTATGTCATCTTAAAGCTACCCTCTCCTGGAAGAAAGGGCCTACTGAAATGATTGGAAAATAGTAATTTTTGCTTGAATTCCACAGAAAGGTTTGATTTCATTTCTTGATTACTGTTTTTTCATGTATAGTGCAGACACAGTATCTCTGTATTTCCTTTTGATTCTGTCATCCTGCTCTAATGACTGATTTGGGAAGGTATAAATACCTATTAAAAAAAAAATCTTAGCTCAAAATAATTGTCTTCACAACAAGAAATAAAAAGGGTTGGTTGTGGTGCCCACAAAGACACATGACACCAGTGCTTTTGCAGCACAAATTGTATGTGGGTGTGGAAAAGTGCCCATTTTTTAAACGTGCTAAGATGCAGAGTGCCTTGATGGGAAGAGGTGCTGATGAGTGCTGGCTGCTTTGTCCTTCACTCCAAAAATAAGGGCAAAGCGAAGCTATGCTATCAATTTCAAAGTAGCCAGGCTTTTGCCCCAGAGCTCCTTCCCTGATCTGGGACACCCACCAGTCTTTTAAAAAGAACAACAAAACCTACATAACGTGCTTTTTTTTTTTTTTTTTTTTTAAAACCTCACAGTCTTGCACCTCTACTAGCATCTTCTGCAGCTATCTGGCTCAGCAGGAAAACAAGAGTCCTAAATGTTTCCTTCGTAACAAAGGGATATATCTCCTTTTCCTCCCATGAAGCTCCATGGAAATTGCCACAATTCATAAACTTAAAAACAAACCCAAAAAGTGTGTTTATAAGGAGGTTTTGCTTTTCCTCTTATTTGGTCTTTTTTCCCCACACTTTCAACTGATTTGAGACAAAGATGCAAAATAATGCATTTTATAAAGTGTCTGAAGGTTGCATTTGCATTCACATTCACTTCATCATCACTGCTGCAAGCATCTGAGCAGCTGAATGCTGCTGTGACATGTTTATGCGAGGCATATCTCAGCCCCAAAGGTGCAGGAAAACTGGAAATGCGTCTTTACAGGCCCCCCTCAGGAAGGAAGGGCTTGCACAGCCAACTAGGCAGGATGCAGCCACCCTCTGGTGACTCCTCAGGCACGCACCAACTGCTGAACAGCTGTTAGCCAGCCGCACAACAACAATAAAAAAAAGAAGAAATTCACAGCAAAAAAACACTGATAAAAAAGTAACCTGCCCAGGGACACTCGTAAGCTGCAAACTGCCTTCAAATCATGACCCACATTTGGGTCTCCAATGATAACGGGCTGGATTTAGCCTCTCTGCTGATGTTGAAGGCTGGGTCTGCACACCCAGTACTGACCTGGCAGCCAGGGGACGTGGGCTGTGCCTGGCTGGCGAAGGGACCGAGGAGCCAGAAATAAATGAGCGGTTGATCTCATTCACTCATCTCCATCTTTGAACAATTTTGAGCGAATAACTGGAAAAGGTAAATTATTCATATGGAGCTATTCTAAGCTTAGAGTCACGCAGGCACCTGCTTTAACTAGAATAGGAATAGTGCCTGTGCTGCTGAGGGCAGAATTTGACTTTTACTTTAATTGATGCAATTGTAAGAAGTAATTCAAGGCAAATCACCTACAGAAAGCCCCCAGAGTGGAAGCAGCATTCAAAGTCATAGTGTATAAACAGCTGGGTGTGCGAGCACAGCAATAACTCCCTGATACTGAAGCACAGAAGGAAAAATCCAGTGCAATAAATAACTCTGATCTTACCTCCTACTAATAAGTAGCTATTTGGGAAGAGGGTTTTGGCTTGCATAAGAGCTCTAGCATGGCCAGAGTGGAAGAGGTCAAATATTCCATCTGCATACACTCTGACAGGTCTGTCAACTGTGGAGAAAGAAACACAACAGTGATTTTTCAGACCCAAAACAAGTTGCACTTAATTCTTACTGGGCAGGTTTTGGTTCCCTGATCAGATGATTGCAGAGATTTACCCCAGTTCGGATATTCGAAATGCACCGTGGGTGAAGTCGCACTATTTTATCCTGCTCATTACTTGTTCTTCCTTGTACTCTCTGCTGTTTTCTCTCAGACTTTGCCTATTTATTATCATCCATCATCTCCATATTCTAATTTAGCAAAAATGTCATCTTCCTTCCTCATTCGGAGTTCCACCATATGTCTTGTTCTTTTCTCTCTGCCTTTCTAGTCAGTTCTGCCTTCTGGATTTTTTCAATTTTTCCTTATTTTTTTCCTATCATCTCCCTTTTCTCCTCTTGTCTGTGACTTTCTTTTTTTTCCACAGCCTACCGCTGCAAAAACGTATTGCTTGTTTCTTCCACATAAACCTTTCACTTCCTCTTTCCATCCTCCCCCCAGGCGCTTCTCTCTAATAAGCTGATCATTTATTTTTCTCACCATCCTTCTGCTATCACTCTTATAACTCTTGCTTTCTGTACAACATCTTCAGCAGCGGCCTTCAGGTAGAAAAAGGACTTGCTTTACCAAATGACAAGCTTGGCAGCTGTGCCACAGAGAAGTCACCTCCAAGCAAAAGGACAGCAGAGATGACAGCAACAGAGCTCCAACCTCATGGACTGTGCTTCAGTGCTACAGAGAGATACCTCTGCTGTCGGGACACCCAGGGGTCAACAGAAATATGGGGACAACACTGTTCCTTGCAGAGCTGAGTGGAAAGCTGAGGCTTACCTCTATAAAGTGTACATGCTTAAGAAACTTATTTTTCAAAAGAATCTCATGGAATTTAGAGGCGGGGATGAAGTAGATATTTGGGACTTTATGTAAAATCATCCTGTTTCACCAGCCCAATCACAAGGGTAGGTCTGGAAAAACTGTCCAGATAGAGTTCCAAAATTGGACATGCTTTCTTTTCAAAGGGCAAATGGCCTTTAAAGCCATCTAAAGCCCGATGTGATCAACAAGAGTATCAGCAAAAGAAAATGTTTTACAGCATACAAAGGCAGTACAGAAAAAGAATCCAGGAGGTAGCCACTGCACAGCACAACTTTAAGGCCATCTGGAGTGGGCTGGCAAGCCTTCCTTCCAACCAACATACAGACACCCATGAAAACATCAAACTCAAAGTTGAAACATTTTCTGTAGCACAAGATAACAGTCCCCTTGTCACTGATTTCTTCCCTATTACCTGAGAGCACCAGATACCAGGCTGGCCTTTCAGTGGAAGGCACAAGCCAGCACGGACAGCCGTTTGTAAGGGAGAGCCTGTGCTTTGGGAGCGCCCAGGGTCCTGCTGATGTTGCTCTCTACACATACCTGGTGTTCCCAGGCGGGCTTGTGCAATGGTTAGCTTCTCATGGGGGGCTTGGCACTGACAGCTTGTTTCGTCTGCAAATGGAGCTGGTGCCGTCAGAGTCTGGAAGGGGGAAAAAAACACAGAGAAAGTCAATTTATTTCTTCCATCAAGTAGTTAAAAAAGAACCATTTAGCTGTGTCAAGATGCTGTAACCAGGCTTAATGCTGATTTGTTCCCTGAGGATTTTTGCTTTTTGGTCACCCCTGAGCATACACAATTCACACAAGGTAAAATGATGAGGAAAATAAATCATTCCAAACACATCATGCAACTTAATTCTTTGTCTCTGTTGAGAAGCACAAGCATTTCTGAATTGGTGCAGGTACATAATTTTTCCATTTGCCAAGGTCAAAGTTGGGTTTGGTGGCCCACACACCTTAATCCTTGCTTTGGTCCCAACGAGTCCAAAGGCTTAAGATGCAAAATGTATTCTACTATGTACGTAGCTGGAAAAACCAATTGGGAGCCAGACTCTTTTCAGTGGTTTCCAGTGATAGGAGAAGGGGCAACGGGCACAAGCTGGAACATAGGAATTTCCATTCAAATGTGAGGAAGAACTTCTTTATGGTGAGGGTGACAGAGCACTGGAACAGGCTGCCCAGGGAGGCTGTGGAGTCCCCTTCTCTGGAGATTTTCAAGACCTGCCTGGATGCAGTCCTGAGTGATGCGCTCTGGGCAATCCTGCTTTAGCAGGGGAGTTGGACTAGATGATCTCTAGAGGTCCCTTCCAACTCTGACAACTCCATGATTCCGTGATTTAGAAAGCTGCAAATGGACCACTTCCTCACAAGCACCAGTTCCTCCCACTGGCAAGACAACAGTACAGATGAGTGGAACTACAGGTTGTTTTGTTGTTTTTAATCAGAACCTTGTATAATTTTGAGAAGCCATTCAAAATAAAGGCAAGACTTCAACCAGAAGTCCGAGCTAACTGAGCTGCAAGTCCTTTCTCTGGTTGACACATGCTGTAATAGTACTAAAATGCTCTAGCTGTGATCACAGCACCACAAGGGTACTTGCTCTGAAGCAATTATAACCTAAAGATCTAAGAGAGAGAGTGAGAATGTGTGAAGAATGATGTGGCATTATCTGCCAGGAAACCTGATTACAGAAATTACATTTTCTGTCCATGCCTATGTAGGAAGTTATCAGCAATCAGAATCTCAGATATTTATTATCTGCCATATGGTCTGATATGAAAAAACATGCTTCTGCTGCTCTTGGATTGAAATCTTTACGAAATCATAAAAACAGCAAACTACCAAAAGCTGAGTTTTGGGTTGCTTTGTTTTTACGAGATGAGCTGATGGTTGAGACAAGCGAAATATGTCACTTACTTTGCCTCCACCATGACTTGGCAGGGACCTCATGGCCTTGGAGCTGCAGCTTGGTTTGGTTTTGACAGTGACCATTTGTGCAACGCACAGTTGTACCAGTTCCAGCATCTATGGTTGATGGTAGCAGAATCTCTCTTCCCCTTTACACTTTTTTTTTTTTTTTCCCCAGCTTTTGGATGCTGAATGCTTAATCACTGAGCATATATTTTCTTTAGCATTTCTGAGACACTTTTAAGGCACATCATGCCTAATTGCTGCTGACCTCTGAGGTCACTGGCTTGTTGCATGGAAAGCTTAGAGGACAGTAGTAAAACAGCAGCAAAGACTTAAAGTGAGCTAAGGTTCATATCCAGCTCTTTCTGCTGCTTTACTATTAATTTTGTTTACTGAAATCACTACATTTTTATTTAGATTACTTTTTTTCCTCCTTCCATTTTTCTTTCCTTTTTTTTCTTAATCTCCAAGGTTGCAGGAAATCATCTGAGGTAACATTAATATCTTAGTGATAAAAATCACAGCTTCTCTGCACAGACAAGGTTAAAAATGGAGAAACTATGACCAAGTCCAAGTTTCTGTCTGGATTTTGTGGACGGGCACTGTTCATCAGGCCACCCACGCCGCACAGTGTAGAACATTACACATAATCATACCGTGCCAGCTTCTTCCTTTATTTTCTAAATACTGTCTTTTTGCTTCTGGCTTTGAGATCGCTGTGTGCTAACCTGTCTTTTTATCTCCAAGCAAGGTCAAGTTACACAGCAGCCCATACAGCCTGCTTCCCGCTGGGATAAAGAGGAAGGCAGAAAAGTTAAAACAATAATGGCTATGGTCTGAGGCCTGCAACTGGTAATCAGATCCTAGCTTGGCAGAGGCTGTTTCCTTGGAGATTATTTGAAGAAAATAGGCCTGGTTTGCAGCAAGATATTTTTTTGTCCCCCTAGGCAAACACAGTGGTGCTTTTTATCCATGTAAGCGCCTTTGCAACACCAAGATTTTTCTTTTGGTCTCTGCTCAATGGAAAACCACCTCTATTAGCTTCCCATCGGTCCAGCTTTTGTGAATGCTCATCATTAAAGCTCGCTTTAAGGCTGAGGGCTTAGAACCAGACTTGTCAATATTCCCGTTATTCTCTGACCCCTCAGTCACTGAATATGAAAATATATTAAATAGATTAAAATCAGCAATATTCTATCAAAGAGAAGGCAATAGAGAAATGCATAAAGACCATGTGCTGACAGATCAACTGAAATACAGCCATAGTTTCCCAATTAGTATCCAATATTATTTCATTTTATCTGGTCTAGAAAAAATGTTGCTGAGCTTAACAAAAACATCTTATGAGTAGAATAAGATGAGCCCATTTTGTTTGTATATAACAGCATAAGATAAAATATTTCAAGAAATTATTAAAAACCAGAAATAATTTATCAAACCTCTTTCAGTTTGTATATAATTACTTGCATTCTTTCCAGTTTCTTGTCAGTAATAACTAGAATTGGGAGAAGAGTGCAAGTCATTTATATAACTGCTTTTTCATTTTGTTTAATCCATTAAAGTACTTTTAGAAGTTCGCTATAGTGTTGCCAATAATTAGATGGTTAGACAAAGACTGTGCAAATGTACTTCATCTTTCTCTGACAGATTTTTCCCTTCATCTGCACCTTCATTATTTTCTAGGCATTTACATTTTGCAATTACTCAAGCAAGTCAAATTAGGCTCATGTTTTGGGCCAAGGTAAGTTTCTGCAATCTGCATCATCCTGTAGCAGAATGCTCTATAGCCTAAGCATGAGTTCAGTGATGAATTATCTCTTTTTGCTCAGCACCTGCCTCCTCCTTGTATTATTTGATATTCTTGTACTGGAAGCTTCAGTAAATTTATCCGTATTCACCTATTACCTGCCTCTCTCTTTTCCCCCCTCAGTCATGTTTTCCAGGCTGAAAAGCTTTACCCCATTTATTTGTTCCTTGTTGGAAGCTGGTCCACAACTTAGATTATTTTTGTTGCCCTTCCCTGTTAACTGCAAGGTGATTTTTACAGTGCTCAAAGTGATAACTCTTCCAATTTCTAGAGCTTTAATAGATAGGAATAGAAAATTATTTACATGGTGCTCACATTTTGCAGTTATCTTTGATGACATAAACACCTTACACCTGGTGTCAGCAGGGAGATCTTACTTTCATTTAAGCAGTCCGAATGCCACATCATTACTGTATTATTAATATGTGGTGTCTAGAGAAAGCCTATTATATGTCATAAATGAAGAAGTCATTGTAATATTAGAACTTGTTAGTGGTATTTACTGCAGATGATGTTAAAAAACTCTTACAATGCAAGTTCTGTTCCCTAGGAACGAAGGTGCTGCATTCAATTATAATTAAATTCACTTCCTAAATACGAACGTACTTGAAAGCATCATATCCAATAATCCTGGCATATCAGAAGCAACTCATTCTGTAACAAGTTTAAATGGTGTCTTACTTGCATTCTCACCAATTTGCAAAAATAACTGAATGATGCTCAATAAACTTCAGGAAATTAAAAGAAGGAAGGTGGGTAAAGGGGGGCTTCCTAGCAAATGCCTCACAGCCCCATTTGCACCCAGTAACGTCTTTGTAACCTGCAAATATATTTAGTGAGACAGTAGCCCAGACAGGACAGGACAGTGTGGCAGGCAGCCCTGGTTCTGTGGGCAGGATGTTTTATGATGAAACCCTACACGACAGCTAGAAGCAGCTTATTTTCAGGTGTACCTTGATGCTGCCTTTTTATTATTGCTCTTCATACTCTCTTGGGCTACTGTAGCCATTTAACTTAGCTGCTAGTCAGCAGATAAACATCCATAGCTTATGTTTCCAATGGATTAAAAGGAAAGTGGTCGGTGATTTGTAGAGAGCAGGAGTCATACCACTGAAATAACAGGTCAAAAGTACGAGCACCTCCACACCCTCTCTTCTGTTTACAGCCTGTAATACCAAATAATTAGTTGTGTTATTGTTTGTTTTCTTTGGGGGTTTTTTTGTTTGTTTGTTTGGGTGTTTGGGTTTTTTTACACAACAGCAAGGATGACAGAAATATTTTTGAAAATGGGCAAATGTAGACCCATCTGTGCCATTGCACATCTGCTGTTACAACTCTGCCTGTAGGGTCATAATGTAACATGTTAATGGAAGAAGTTATTCTTTTCAATTTATTTTTTTATTTGCGCTGCTCACCACGTGACATAGACAAAATCATTGTTCTCTCGGTAAAGAAAATAGTTGTTTTGTCATCTAAGATTTTGCCACTAATAAAAATTTAAGAAAATTTCAGATCTTGAACCGTACAGCTACCGAGGCAAAATTTGGTAGAGCAGGCTGGGCTTATGCTTATAAAACAATTAAGCCGGCAGGCAAATTCTGTGGGAGGTCTGATGCTGTAATCTCCTTTTATCTCAGAGGCAGTATTTAAAACAGATAACTGATTTCACTGGAACAAATCACGTGGGTAAGATCTGCTCATAGGAGGAAAGATTATTTTGGGAAGCTGCTCCTGATGTTGACAAACAATAATTACAGAGCAGGAAACGCTGATATCAGTTTTAAGGAACATTTAAGAGAAAAACCCTATCAAAACTCTTGAGAAGGAATTAAAAATGCATGCTGAGTTTCTGAAGTATGAATAACCTTTGCAAGTGGAAAGACTATGTTAAGGACTACCAAGGGCTTCTCTTAGAGGTCCAG